TCTGACAAATCGTGTGATAAGTTCTTTGCTCAAAAGATTCGTGTTTAAGGCAAAAATTGCACTCCGAGGAAATCGAACCCGGCACCTCTATAGTTCGAAGCCGACCTCTTAGGCGCTGTGCCATCAAGAGTATGTTTCACAGTCCTCAGTACTGATTAGTTGCTTATTTCTTCACAATGCTGCATGAAGTGCGAATATGCTTTTCTGATAAATAAAAACTGCATAAACTCAAATCGAACGAAATATTGATTTTTTCTAAGCGCAACGTCAAAATGGTTTTTGCTACAGTATGTAGTGGCCGTGTAGTACCTTGCTAACAAAAATCATAAAAGAGTTCATTCCTTTATTTTTTGATGACCGTTTAGTAATTTCGTTAAAAAAAATAGAAAGCAGGTACATATAAATCCCAGAAGACATGATTTTATGATCAGCTGATTGACACTTAATCCTGAGGCTCACATAGTTCTCAATGAATCTAAATTTGGGTCACATTAAAATTCATTGCTATCGCGGTAATAAGTTGCGGAGCGAGCGCTTCCCAATCGCGATCTACTAGACAAACTGAAACGAAGACATTCAGAAATCGTCAATGCATGAAGTAAGTGTTGTACGCGATGATCCTTATGCGACGACAGTAACCTCGATGATATCTGCTGCGGTCCGTCGGTACGAACTTGAAGTACTAGCGGTCACGTAAGTCACATGTTCGCCTCCCGGAGAACGCGATTCTGGACCTGTAGGATTGGTGGTCATTTTGGTGATCAAGCTTCAGTAGAGTGCGACGTTTGCACGGTGTTAATATCCTTCTGTCCCCGAGGGTGACAGCTCGGTAATTTCCACAGATTTTGAGGACTCCGCTTTGTTGCATAAATGTCAAATAGTCGGAGCCGAATGTCACTGTCACTCTCGCAACGCAATAAATGTATCGAACAATGACGCCGAGACGTTTTCATTCAGCAACGATTTCCTATGACTTCTTGCTGTCAGATCTTTGTCGCGTCATGTCACAATTGCAACAAGGGACCTTAATGCGAACCTTGGCTCCATTAACAAAACATGCCACCGTCCCAGTATTGACAGCAACAATAGCAATGGCACGAGAATGTTAAGCTTTTCTGCATCAAATTGTTTTATCGTTGGCGAGACCATAATCCCTCATAAGCCAATTTACCAAGCCACCTGGATGGTCTAAATACCAAGGCAGGCCGTATATCATCAGTCCTAAATGCCAAAGTTCATCACTTGAGACTCGCAAAAGACGCGACGCTTTTATTGGGAACTGTTATCATATGGTCATAGCGGAACTGCGTAAAAATTTTCTGTCGAAGTGCTTCTCGTCGCTGACAAGCTAAAATGTAACGAAGCGACGCGTTCGGCATAGGAAAAGGAGGTAGAGAGTTATTTTAGTGCTTCCCGTTACTCCCAGATGGGAAGGTGCAATGCCGATGAACCTTACAAATAACTCAAAGGAGGCGTCATTTCTTTGGTGAAAGGCGTAGTATGGGTTACGACGAGCAGAGCCGATCTGTCCTGGATTTATGGAGAAGACCCTAGCCCTAAAGTGCGATGGAACAAAACAAAGTAGGATTACTTACAACACTTTGCTGTAACCTCGCAGACAACCTCTCACCGTCTCGCTCATGCAGTCAATCAAACCTGCAGGAAGCACAGAGAACTTTGCTGGCGTGAAAACTCAGGAAGGTGGATATGGCAGCCAAAACTGGCAACTGGCGCCCAGAGTTAAAACAAGTTCAACAATGATCTGAAAAGGCGAGATCCTGTTCCATCTTTACTCAAGACTATGTAGATCCCACCGGCAGATCAAAAGAAATTCGCTTACCATATCCAGCAGTTGGTCAGGGCTATCATTAGGATTCATCGTTTTCGACCGTAATTGCCTGTCAGCTCTACAGGATCGTTCAGATCCACCCACAAACCTATAAATTCAGACAATCTTGCTACGTCTGAATCTGTAGAAAGTCAGCGGTGTAGACCAAATTCTTCCCGTTAATTCGGCATGGAGGAACGAAAATGGTAGAAAAGTCTTAATTTCCTAGTTAAGCATGTCAACGGAGGTGTGGAAGCTTAAATTTAAAGGAAATCAGACAACTGAATGTTCCAATAATCGTGGTGTCGCAACATCGTCATAGCAGTCTTCAGAATGGGATACTATTGTCCATATCAAATTCTCACTCTGCCCTGAATCATGGAGCAATGACTACGATTTCTATTTCTCCCATATTAACTACCTAAATCATCCGATAATACGAAAAATCTTTAAATACTTTGGGATATCTCACAAACCGTTTCCATTTTGAAACAAATGTAGGCTCTCTGCTGCTAAAGTAAAAGGAGGGCTATTTGGGCGATTTTCTGTTAACTGTGGAGTTTGCCGAGGAAACGTGCTTTCCTATTTACTGTTCCAC